TTAATAAATGCATATCATGGTACGTTTATACACGTCGTACGCATTAGAAAATTATAGTGTAGTAAATGTTCAACTCATCATAAGTAATTCGAATGTAATTCTATTTATTTAACACGTTTGCTACCACCGTTTAAGGAAAAAGTCAGTTACCATAGCCCAAGTGTCGAATTGGCATAATTAAACGTCACAGATGTATGCCTGGGCCCTGGATAACACGTATAGATATACTTAGTGTATCACACATGTGTGACGAGTGGTAGCGACGTGTTAAAAGTTAATGAGATAAATCCTACCGAAACTATTAATACCAAGACTTACGTTTATTGGAACTGTTTTATTGTTTTTTCTGTATTGAGACATAGTAATATTTATGTCTCATAAAATTCACGTTGATTTAAGAAACTGAAGTAATTGTGGTTACAATTTGTGTGGAGCCTTACCTATCCTAAACTTTAACATAAACTTCTAGAAGCGTCAATTGTAGGTTCAAATTTAAATTAAAGTTCGTAATATAAGGTGTTGTTTGAAAGACCTATTATTTTAAAAGGTAAATTTTTACACATTTTAATCGCCTTCATAGCAGGGAATAGAGAGCTAGCTATTAGTACATGAAATATCGTAGTTACTACATAGCTGACATTAAAAAGTAATCGCCTTTTCTTTTCCAGGAATAATTCACGGTTCCATCGTGCCTGAATATTTTTATATGTCTTCAGGAATTCTAAATTTTATTCATTTCTTCCGCCTTTTTTTATACAGTCGCTCGTGAAAGTATTCGAACAAACCACGGGTATAAAGAAACATTACTTTTAAAACTAATCCAGCGATTTCATATTACCAGACATACATACATATTTAAATGACAATTCACTGTTTAATATTAGGTTGTTGCATAATAACTGTCGTTTTCAGACTGTAAAGTTCCAATAATCATAACTCACCGTAAAATTAAAACCCTCGATCCCACTGTTGAATTTATTAATTCTATTTTTATAAAACTTAATGGCTCTAATAAAACGCACTAAAAAACGAGATTTATTATGTAACAACCAAATTCATTAGTTCATATATTTACAAACTTAGACATCTACCTTAGAAATAAACTTCTTTGTGTCTCTCGTCTATAGCTAGACCTCGTACTTTCACGAGCGACCATAAGCGTTCCAAATTGTCCCAGAACGTTTCCACCGCAATATTCTTCCCAACGACCAAATGCGTTCCCACCCACAGCATATCCTCAAAAAGTATCTCATTCACAGACACCATTATAAGGTATCGAAAAGAAGGAAGACACGGGATAGTAGGTAATCACGCGACACCGCATGATTTACAGAGACATGTAACACGACGAGGCGGTCGATTCATAAATTATACTAATTCTGTGTGGGATCGTTTACGATCGACGTGAAAGAGAGAGGGAGAGAGAGAGAGAGAGAGAGAGAGAGAGAGAGACAGGAAAAAAAGGAACAAGACCATCCAGCTATAAATCTCGAGTGCAATTTACAGCGAAACCGAGCGGAACCATTCTTCAGCGAGGTGTATCCGCGAGCGACGTGTGTCGCTCAGAAAAAAGGTCCGAGGAGGATCGATCGGTCGCATTCGTTCTCGGAATGGGGCGATTCGATTTTGACTAACAAATTTTCGGGGCAAGTTTTCGGTGGCCCTCGACCAACGCAGCTGGCGCTGAATCATCCTGGCCCTCCGTCTGAAACGCCACGGCGTTGCCAAGGTTTCGGAGCGGCTTCCACCGACTTATCGCTTCCTCTTATCGAGTCAACTTAGGAAAAAAAAATGCCCCGTAGCTCTGACACTGAACAGAGGCTACTGCGGCTCTCACGTGACTTCCGTCTTCGCTACCATACTGCGATAACTACTGGAGCCCTGTCTCGCTGATCCTCCTTCGATTTATCTGTCGCGCGGCCACTACTCGCCGCGTGCTTCGACGAATACACACGAAACAGATAAGGAACGGACTACATCTGTAATTAGGTAATGTAATCTGTAACATGAGTTTTTCGTCGTGGTTTCGATGATACATTGGATGTCCCGTTGAATGGAATATGAGGCCTGAGGTTTTGCGGCTTCGCGATGAATCAGCTGGGATATTGTATTCTATACTGCTAATTTGAAATATAAATAAAAGCCCTGAGAATGTTGTAAATAATGCTAAAAATATATAAAAGCTGTGTAAAAGTTTCTCGTTGTTACAAAATTCATAAAGAGCCTGTTGTCGTTTGGAACACAACAAAATATACGGAAACACTATTGCTGTCGACATCCAAATGATAATCATGCTATTGGTTCCATTATCTCATCCGCGTGGGCATAGAAAGACGTCTACATAACTCACGTCTTCAATTATTCACGAATGCCTTTCATAATTTTTACTCTTCTTTATCTACAATAATAATTATACTTTGATTTTTTGTGGATCTTCAATTGGAATATGGCGTGAATGAAAATGGTACCAAACATCAGTACACTTCGGATTTTCTGCATTTATAGCCTACAGGGCTCAGTGAAATGTAATGTAATGATCAATACCGATAGCTGAAGTGGCGTTTGTGCTAAAGAATCTCAAACAACCGAAGAATTACTCCAGTCGTGCAAGAAATAATTCCATATTACATTAGTTTTCTGAGAAAGATGTTTTTTAATTTATTCTCGCAGAAAGCTCTAGTTTACGCGGACCACCCGGGAAGTATTTTCGATTTCCTTGCGTCCACAAGACACTGGAATCGTGCGTTCTGGGAGCGGGCTTAGAACGTGCTCAGCCGTTAAGAGAAAATTCGAACACGTGTCGCCAACCCTTTCCCTCCTGTCGACAGGGCGCGAACGTTGCAGCATCGGACTTAAGTGGGCAAAGAGAAAATGGACTCAAGTGTAAAGTTACCTCGAATCTACAGTTACGGCCATTGTTGCGGCGGTTCTTGCCTCTGAAGTGGCTGCTTGAATTACCGACCCCTGTGGCCCCGTTCAATGGAACATGGCCTGCTATTACGCGACTTAATGCGTGCCCGCGATATAAACATTTACCGCGTCTTAACGATCGATAGTTTGATTGTAATGGCCTGAAACACTGTGGCCAATGGGGTTTCGCTACGCAAGGAACAATGCAAATCCGAATTTCGTGAGTAACTGCTATATTAATCTTCCATAGGCAATGTGGATCGTTTGGCGACAAAATGTATGTTCTAAAATCGGCGTATAATTCAATTTTGTTCATACTAACAGTGAATAGAATGTCACTAAAATAAAGTAAACGGACTAATTTTCGTATAGAAACAGCAGTCCATATATCCAATATCTGCAGTATATTCCATGTAATACGTGAGTAACTATTTTGACGGTTCAATTAGACGCTCATTGTCTTATTAACATCACAACTGTCCATTGAAATAAAATTTCTTAGTACAATAATAGACTATCAATACCGATTCGTCACACGTATACCGAGCGCACACAACAGCTGGAAGACAGCGAAACCAGCTCCGACTTCGAGACCAACAACAATTACGACTCGCTCCGCCGGAAGGAAGCGTCACAATAACTTCTTACTTTTCGAAGCGTCGTAAAGATGAAGAAGGAGGAGGTGGGAAGGGGGAAGGGTCAAGGCGAGATAAAGGAAAATTGATGGCAGACCTAAATCCTCGTCGGTGGATCTCGAGTCTGCCTGGCGGGCCACAAGAGAAAGGGTTGTTGAATTGCGTGCTCGTGGCTCGGCGCAACATCGAGGATCGTTAATTTGAATTATTATTGAGCGTTGGATACGCGATACGCCGCCCGGCTCGCGGCAATTATCGCGAGGAAACGCGCGAAACCCGTGCCCGTAATAGAATCGAGCCACACGAGGCTGTACACCGCGGCGGAGATAGGCCTCACTCTGATGGCCGCCACCGGGTGAAAATCGGAGATTAAACGCGCGTCTGCGATCCGCCGCGCACATGGCTCCCGGGTTCCAGTGAACCACTGTGTCCGATAAGAATTGAGTGGCTCCTAAGTGGCGCGAGAGGGAACGAGCCCGTTGCGAAGATCGGCGGCGTCGTCCTGCCGAACCGAGTCCCCGACTTTCCAACAGGCCTTCGTGCGTGTCGGCGCATATTAAATTAGCCCAGCAGACTTTTCCATTAATAACGGGCCACCCTGGGACACGGTCACGCCCGATTCGAACGTGACAAACTGATCACGGTTACACAATCCGCTTGGGCGAATTTTGTTGTACGTATCGCTGTCTGGAGACCGGTTTTCCTTTCGGCTAATCGGTCGATCGAGTTTTGAGCGAAAGTCGTTGACCGAACGATGAGGTGTCGAGAAATCGTAACGATACAGAATTAGAGAAAATAAATTAATTTTTGTTTTGAGCACAGTTAGACGATCATGTGGATGAGAATATTTCTACGTTCTACGGATATTTCCCCTCGCCCCTAATGTTTGAGTACATATAGGTGGTCCCTTAATTGCATTGCTCCGAGCAAACCACCATGGATTGCTTGAATACACGTCGGTATACGCTGGGTTAATAATCATGCTACCCTCTAGTTTGTTGGGTCTCGAACGCAGTAGAGCTCCATTTACCCTGAACTCATGAAACAGGAGTTCTTGGTATGAAACGATTAACAGTGAAGAACGTATTGGAGAAGTTTTACAAATTAAGCATACACAGCAGTAAAACGACCTAAACAACTTATTTAGTAAGAAGTTCCTCGATTCTGTATTTGTAATGTTTCTGGTGAACAAATCAGTCAAAACATGTATCAATGAGGTTCCTGTTGTTCAGAGCACACAGAATGTGACAGTGAACCAAAATCATCAGGACTACGTAAACTCGTATGATTTCTACACTAAAGCTGTATGAATAGTCGTTGCTACCCGGCAGATTCAAGTATATAAATAGAGTTCTACGCTACACAAAGAATCTGCACGTGGAACTCCAAATATAGAAGTGAGGTCAAAAACGTTAGTTAACTGCCGGAATGGCAATAACCACGCGAATCACGTACCATGCCTTCGTCTATCGAGGTGTCCTCGTCGAAGTAACACTCGTCGGGCTCATCCGGTGTCAGGGCAGTAGGAGTTTCCGGTGACTCCTCCTTGATATCCTGCCTCCTCATCCAGTCCATTTTGCAGTCAGTTAGAGCCTCCCGGCGAGTGGCGAGATAATGCGTGGCCTGTAGCTTCTTCCTGCTCGCCGTCACGGGATCACATGTCTCGGGTTTCGATCAGAAATGAGCAACCAAAACGGCCGCGAGGAACTGATCCAGCAATAGGGGAAGAGGAGGGAAGAGGCTGCGGCTGACATTTGCGAAATGTCAAAGCTTTTTCTGGGTAGTGGTGTAATATCTCGCTAACGAGACGACCGGGTTTCTCTCGAGAAGATCGAAGCCCCCGATACTAGGTGCCGCGACTCGGATTGCACGTGCACCGGTAAGTACGCAGCGGCGGTTTAACAAGGGCGGAAAAGGGGGATGAAAGCGAGCCTGTTCGCTGTCTCACCAACAAATATGTGTAGAATAATATCGGGGAGGTATAAACGAAAGTTCTACCGTGTGTTCTGGTAAGTTGTCGATGATCTTCCTGGAACACTTCGTTCACCAAAACGTCACCAGGGCAATCAACCCCTCTCACTGTCGTCACTCCGAAGGAAACTTAGCCTGCGCTCCTCGACACGGCACTCCGATCGAACGCGGAAAACTCACACGCGACACGCTTCGATATCCAGAGGAGAGCACATCGTTAAAAGCGTACCGGCGAGATGATTGCGAGCGAGAGACGGAACGCGCGCGCAGTAGTCCCGCATGTGCACACGAGCAAGCGAGCGAGCGTGCTAGCTAGCGAGCGAGCGAGCGAGCCACGGCGGCAGTGCAGCTGCAACTGTGTGTACAGGCCGGGAATGCTGGAGGTGGTATGGAGGCGGCTCGGTGGGCGCACTCTGTCTCGTCTCTTCGCTGGGTTCCCTTCTCTCTCTTTCTCGCTACCCACATCGCCCGTTCGTCCATCTCCCTCTCTTTTCAAACACAGAGTCGTACTTTCTCTCTCGGTCCCCCACGCAACCCCGATTCTCGGTCGTTCTCGTTCGTTTTCGATCCCTCTCGCGCCGATGGGTTTCTTTCCCTGTCCCTTTCCCTTTCCCCACGATCGGGCTCGTACAGTATTTCCAACCCTGTCTAGCGATTCGTCACTCGTTACGTTTATCTTTCTCCCGTTTAAACTTCCTTCTCTCTTTTCACGGTTCCCTCCCCCTCCCTAACCCCTCCCCGTACTTCTTCCATCTCTTCAATCGCTCGTCGCTTCGCGTCCATCTCGTTCCCTTTTTTACGGCACTTCTCTCCGTACGCCTCTAGCGTCCTCTCTCGCGTCCATACGCGGCTGTACATCGTGGGCCCTTTCCGCCGTCTACCTCTATCCCTTTGTTGGTCTCGCGTTCTCTTCCTCTTTCTCACTTCCTTCTGTTCTCTTGCCAAACCACCCACCCCCCGATGCTCTCGTTCGTATTTCTTTCACCTGAAACTCGCTTTCCTCCTCTTCACTGTCCCCTTTATATTTCGTACGGCCTACCCCGTCGCTCTAGCCCGACTCTATCTCATCCCGTCTGCCTCGACTTCCTCCATCGATGCTATTCTATCAGCGCTTCTGCTTGACCTCTCTTTTCTTCCTTCTCTACACGTGTTCAATCCTTCTTCGCCGCGACTTCTCTCTTCTCTTTCCATGTTCAAAGCCAGCACGGAAAACGGCAACTGCCTACCATGACCGGACAGACCGAGAAAGAGAACAAACGAACGGGAGAACGAGAGAGGTCGCGTAACGAGGGGTAGCCAGAAATGACTCCTTTCTCTTTCCTTACACTCGTGCTGTCTCGTTCCCGAAACAGCATCCCTATTCCATTTGTCTCCCTTCTTTTCTTGTCCTTCGTACTCCCCCACCAGAACAGTCGTCGTCTTTGTCGTGCCCACAGTCACTTCCTCCCTCTTCGTAGTTCCATGACCCCTTCCCTTTTGCGCGGCGTCACTACGAGTTCAGGGACGATCCGTTTTCAGTTGAGACCCTGGGATCTAACGCCCCGAGGGAGCCCAGGAATAGCGACTTTCTTCGTGACGGGGATTTCATCTTTTTATGTTTATGGCCGGGATCCGATACGGTTACGACTTTCGAAACAAATTGTCGATAAGGCCCCACCCAAAATATTGTCCTCGTGATAAGCCTGGTTTTTATCGGAGATACGAACGTAGCTTACATGTAAACGAAATGCGAAGTCGTTTTGATATTTAGGGTTCTATTGGTTTGTAATAAACATTCCACTTAAGTTTGTAGGTCTTCGGTGTACAGCAAGAAAAGTTTAGTTAACACTAGAGTGACAGTATTGCCTGGGGGTGGTATAGGAAACGCGCGCTGCAACGCCGGGTTTAGAGAATCGATAATTCGGACCTCCCTGCAGATTCCCAAAACATTGCGTAAGCCAACATTGTTGTAAATCACGTGCCGTTGAATTGCAATGAACCGCAGTTACACCCCTGGGTTAGGTCTCGTCGAAGTAGAGGGACGAGGAAAGTGGCAAGTATGTCACGATCAGAACGACAAAGAAGAGAACGTACTGGGTTAGAGAACGGACAAACACTTCGAAAGGCGAAATATCTTAGAAGAAGATGGGAATAATTCACAGGACAAAGAAGAAGAAATCGCAGGGTCGTAACTAGATAATTCGAAACCTACGATATCTGGACTGATTAAATTTTAATCCACCACTCTTGAGGCTACTGATTCTTACAACAATTCTATCCAAACGAATCATTCGTTCATCATAAAAAAATGATTTCTTGGAATGTATCAAAGAATTATAGATAGCGTTTATGAGTAACTGTAAGAATGGTAAGAATATAGCTGAGAGTAGGTCAAGAGGTGTATCATTACTAATTGCATAGTGGTGCACAAAATTGCCTAACCCTGTATGATATCATAGTACTCTAGTCTCTAAGAGGAATAGTTGACCAACAAATGCCAATCGTTTGCAGTTCATTGGTGTTACCCACTGTAATTTCGATAATGCTGTTTACAACTTACTAAGACATTTATTAATTCCTCTATCCCAATAAAGTAGTGTAAGTTGTTCTAATATGAGTATCTCAACCAAAATGTAAATGACTTCATTTCAAGAGTAGATCAAGTGACAGAATAAATTTATCTGAAATAAGAATTTATTTTCCAAGAGATCAACTTTAAATTTGCTTAAGATAAATGAATTCTACGTACGAATTCTTACACCTTATCACTAATATGACCAAAATGATAATAAATCTTGCAATTAGTGTACTGTGTTTTAATACTTCATTTAATCGATCTTACAGTAAATGGCCTGTGTTTCAAGAACGTAGATACAGATTATATTTACTTCAAAATCGATAACTCTAAAATGAAATCTTGCAAATTTTTTCTCTACTTTTGCATGTTCAGTCTTTTATGCTTCGGTTACGTTCAATGAAGACGTTTCAGGAATCAAAAAGTACTCTTGTAAAAAATACAAGTGGTTTTCTTCAAAATAGTGCCCAGCTTCACGTTATTTCTCGTTACCGTTTGTATCGCGACAGAAGAATATAACTGTTTGCAGAAGGACGGAAAAAGGCCAAAGATCATCAAAAATTACATTTCGTTGTTCTTACGATTTCAAAAGTTAAAGTTCTAAGGTTGCGGTTCTGAAAAAGTCCACCTTTCAATTGTGATGAAACTTTGTAAAATTGTCTGAAATACTTCCAAATAAACATATCCAGAAGGTTTTTTGGCACATTTGAAAATTAATATATTTAATTCCGGGCCAAACTTATGCCAAGTGTTAATGGATTCGAATAGGTAAAAAAAGTTCATACATCCTCATGTCCAAAAACGCGTTATTGCAAAGTTATAAGCGTGCGAATATTTTGATCAATTGTTATGGCAGTTCAAACAAAAGTTCGAAATTTCCTCCTGCAAGAATCCAGGCTTCCATTCGTTGAACTATATGTAGAAGTATTCAGGTTGTATAACTGTCAATGATAATTATTTGAGTCTGTCTGCAATTCTGTACAACGATTTCCAAGAACAATTTTGCTCATAATTCTGACCATTTATCACATTCCAATAAAGCATTTTCGGACATAAGTTTATATGAATGTTTTTCACTTACTTACCTTCATTAACACGTGGTATAAGTTCAACCCTGACCTTTTTAGACACCCTCTGTATATAAATTTACATATGTCCATTTAAGAGTATTTGAGACAATTTCACCAAGTCCCATTAGAATCGAAATGTGGACCTTTCCGTAACCGCAATAAGAATATACATCCCACCCTAATAATAGAGTCATATCATATGTCCCTTGGGACCAGAGTAGCGAAGATCCTCCAGGTGCATCGAGGTGTGCAGCACCAGCAGTGGGCACGGCACTGGGACGAACCCGCGGGAGAAAGGGACAGACGCAGTGTGAGAGACACGTGATGCTGGAGCGTGTGTTAGTCATGGGTTGCCCATGGCAACCCACGCGGCTAATGTACGCGCGTGCGGCTCTACGGGCCGCTCGTTCAGGCAACGCTCGTCCCTATATATATATACATATATGCATACATGCATACGGGAGGAGAGCGTACGTAACTCCGTAGAGGTTGTACTACGCGTACTACTACGGGTCGTGGTGGTACAATGGACAATGGGAGGTCAGGTTCGTGTGCGTCCACACACGTGGCCGAGTTAATTGATTTCGCCTCCGTTCTGTTGCCACGATGTTGCTATTCGATAGGACCGCGCGCAACGAAACCACGTTACACATATGGTCGTCGTCGTCGACCCGCGTACCACGCCACGTCACGACATTGCGGTCGCCGAACAGGGGATCTTCGGGGGTGGAATGCAGAGGGACACGACGCGACGCGGCGATCGGCAGATGAAACAGCGAGCGTAATATCGGGTCCGACATCGACCGCAGTGAGCTTGCACAATGGAGACGAATATACGTCGGTAATTATTTTTATGCGGTATATAGCATGCGTAAGATGTCAGCATGGAATGCACAGTTGTATGAACAATCAAACGCAGGATTGTATGAAGGAAATACATGTTTAGTAATTTGTTCTTTATGTAGGGGGTCTTTGTCATC